AGTTAGATTCCAATACATCTTCCAGAAAATCAGTCTGATGGGTACTGATAAATAAACACTTCCTAATATCTCAAGGCCTTCATGAAACTGAATTCATTTTGACAGAGGGTTTTATACTTATGCAACTGTAAAAGCAAAATCTTTCCAAGTAACTAAAGTTGAATGCTTTGGGATGTGCACTACTTAAGAACAAGGGATAATTTTGTCATAAAGTAAAACTGGCAGAGACAGAATGGGGAAAAGGAGGCACAGGATACGCCTTCAAGGGAAAGAAATAGCTAAGAATAGATAAGGCTAATTTACAAACTTGCTAAGGAGTTTTGGTATTTACTGTGTAGATAAAAGGTTGAGATAAGGAGTAGGCAAGCCTACTTAATAAAAGAGAAATTGGTTATTTGTCTTTCAAAATATCTGGGCCAACTTAAATAGATGTCAATGCGTGCTTCTTGTCATTGACTCTCAGCCAAAGGGAAGTGGAGCTCCAGGCTCAAGCCTCCCTAGCTCTCTAGTTAGTTTTCAAAGCTCTGTCACTTTAAGGAAGCTCTTGAAGGCTCCCTCCAACTACAGGAAGACCTTAGAATATAATCAAAAAAATAAAGGGAAAAATTCAGCCTTATTATAATTATCAGAAAATCAAGGAAGCCCTATCAAAAAAAGAACTGTAAACAATTTCTCTATGTTGTAATAGAAATTCTAAGAAGCCTAAGCAGCCAAGGGGTAATAATCACCATGATGTGCATTAGAAATACCCTGGGGAAATGTTTACCACTAGACAGAGATCACAAGTTTTGTCTCCAGCAGTGAATTGGAGTAGAGACTGATTTTTAGCATGAATTGATAACTGAAAGAGCTAAATTTAATTTGGGGAAAATATTGGAATTGATAAACATTTGGATGAAATCAGAATATTCAAATTTTATTTCAAAAGAAATGATTTTTTATGATACAGATATTTAAAATAATATTCAAGATCTTTTAGGTAGATTAGTGATATTAAATAGATTAGTAGGTATTTTTTAGAATTTAAAAGTACGCAATTTTTTTCTTTGTGTCACAGAGAATAAATATGTATACAAATAAGTGTGTACTTTTTTGCCAATAAAGGGATATACTATAAGAGAACTCTAACAACATTTTAAGAGTTTAATAAAGATAAACTTCTTGGACATGGTCATATTTTTATCCATCTGGCTGAGTTTAATGATTAAATTCATGATATTTTTAGGAGCTTTAGTGGTAGAGTCTATAAA